GCTGGGAAGCCTGACAATGACAGCCGGGCTCTCCGCCGGCTCCCCGCCCGCTCCGCGCCAGGCGAGCGCCACCGGCCAGGGCCTTCGCGGGAGCGCGGAGCCGAGCTCCCGAGCGTTTGTGTAGCCACGCACTTCTCCCCGCGGGCCCACGCGGGGCCGGGCCCTGTGGGCACCCCCGTTTGAGATGGTGACACTGTGATCAAGATATCTGCTCCGGGCCACAGAACTAGGAAGTGATGGGGGCCGGGGGTCAGACGCAGGTGGGTAGTATCTGACCAGTAGGAGGCCCTGGAAGACAGAGCCAGGGGTTATACTGATCAGTTTGCCGGTGCTTCTCCTGCCTGTGTTATCGCAGTCAAAGCTGACGGCAGCCCGATGAAGGTGGACACCATTATTATCTCTTCTCCACAGATGGAAAAAGGGAGGTTCAGAGAAGTGCTTGGCCAAGTTCTCAGAACTAGATGGGTTTCCAGCCCAGGCGAGCTGACCCCAGAGCCTGCATTCCCAGGTCCTCCCCTTCCAGGTTACAGATGAGAAAACTGAGGCTGAGAGGAGAAAAATAGTATTGCGCAAGGATTTACCAAATCACCTTGTTCTCCTGTCCTTCTATGAGAAAATGCCCTATAGGTAGACAGGGTTCCAATCGCTCTGGTGGCTGTCACAGCATAGCTCACTGCCATGCGCCATTTTGCTGGGACCTTTAGGGCTAGTGGGCCCACAGCCAAAGATTTGCTGTATTTGTGCAAAGTCATAGATGCTAACAAGACACGTCAAGGCATCCAGCTGCTACTGCCTGAGTTGCAGCATGCGAGTCAGGTACTGGGTTTCTCTCCCTGCATCTTCCCAGAGGTGCTTTGTGACATGGCCAAGTCACTTCCCCATTCAAGGCCTCCGCAAAAACCTCAAGACAAAATGGGCAAAACACAAAAACCTTGAATTCCATAACCCACCTAGGGCACCCTCCAACATCTACAGATAAACAAATGGCTATTCGTAGCTGCTTCCCCACCTAGCCTCCATTGGAAGGGATAAGACTGAGTAGGATTGACAGGTCACTCACTACTCAGGACAATCCCTCCCAAATCAGCTCATGTGCTAGCATGCTTCAAGGGAGGGTCCTCACCCCAACCACTAATTCCAGTAGGGTGGGGTGCTCTGCCCATAACCTCTGCAGAGCCCACCACACTTGAATACCCAAGAGACTGCCCAGAGGGTGAAAGATTAGAAAGTGACACTATGATACCCATACCCAAGTTGAGTCATTTGAAAGTGTCTTCTGCATCTGCAAGCATGAGAAGTTTTGCAGTCTGTTGCCAAACTATCATGAAAACCATGGTTTTGGAGCAGGAAGCAGCCACGCAGATCATCTCATCCACTTCACATACTATTTTAACCCCCTCCACCCCCACCTCACACACACACTCATGGTGATAGAATTCTCTGCATTTTAGCTCCCAAATGCAGGGAATATATTATAAGCTTAGCATTCATTCCTCTCAACTCTGCAGTTCTAGTACCTAGAAGATGTACATACAAATCATTGAGTGTAGGTTCCTCCCTTCTCTGTACATGCTTATATCGCTATAACCAATATACCTATCCACAGAAATAAAAATGCATCCCGCGCTTTGGGAGGCTGAGGTGAGTGAATTGCCTGAGCCCGCGGGTTCGAGACCTGCCTGGGCAAATTGGCAAGACCTCATCTCTAAAATAAATCAAAAATTAGCCGGGCGTGGTAGTGCGCGCCTATAGTTCCAGCTACTTGGAAGGCTGAGGCGGAAGGATTGCTGGAGCCCAGCAGGTCGAGGCAGCAGTGGCCGGAAGCGGCCACTGCACTCCAGTCTAGGCAACAGAGTGAGACTCCAACTCCAAAAAAAAGAAAAAAGAAAGAAAAATGCCTAATGTTGCCCAGGAATTCATAGAAATATAATTCAACAGCAATAATACTAATCATTGGCCGAACTTGGTGGCTCAACCCGTAATCCTAGCATTTTGTGAGGCCAAGGCGAGTGGACTGTCTGAGTCCACGAGTTCGAGACCAGCCCGGGCAACTTGGTGAGACCTTACCTCTACAATAAACCAAAAACTTAGCTGGGCATGGTAGCGCACATCTGTACTTCCGGCTACTTGGGGCTGGGACGGAAGGATCACCAGAGCCCTGGCAGATTGAGGCTGTGGTGGCCGAGAGGCATGCCCCTGCCCTCCAGCCTGGGTGACAGAATGAGACTCCAACTCAAAATAGATAAATAGATAAATAAAAGTAATAATAGTCATTAATCATTAACACTTACCAAATGTTTACTATATGTCTGGCCCTGTAACATTGCATTATTTGACTTAATCTTCCTAACTCAGGGCAGATCAATCATTTGAGTTATATGGCCAAGCAGTGATAGACCTGATATCTGAGCCTAGCTCTATCTGCGATATGAGTATACATTACCATAAATAAAGTACATTGCTTCTCTTGAATTGAAACACTAACATACTGACTCATTTGTTAAACAAACATTTATTGAATACCTACTTTGTTCCAGGCCTTGTGCTACAGGCACAGCAGTGAACATACAGGCAGAGAAAGCCAAATGACACTAGCAGGGCCAGGAGAGCCTTGTAGGCCATGGTGAGGATTGTGGACTTGTTCCTAAGAGCAATGGGAAGGTTGCAGGGGAGAGGCAGTGAGGGTCACAAGAAAAATCTATTATTGGGAACCACTCCAGCTGCTAAGGAATAATGAGTTGAAGTTGGTAAATGTGGAGGGCAGAAGACCAATTAGGAGGCCATTTGACATGGCAGTAGAGACAGAAGCAGAAGAACTGATCCACCTCAGACTAATATACTTGGGATTATAAATATTTACATGATTATAAAACTTCAAAACGAGAGAATAGTTGCCTGGTATCCGAACAGTTTGTTCCTGTGAACCCAGCAGGGCTCTCAAAGTGAACAAAGACCAATTTCTAGAAGAGAAAGACTGCCTGTTCATTTGAAGTGCTATAAATGATTTGGTATTTATGATTATAAATACCCAATTCAATAGTGTACAAGGGTAATAAAGCCTAAGAAACAAGTAACTACTAATTTGGGAGTCGAGTGAGACAGTGAGAACCACTAACCAATAATTACAAAGGTGGTAAGTCAGCCTGCCATGGTAGTAGCTGGAAAACATTCATCTTCACTTTAGCTAAGGAAGGTAGGAGAGACAGCATAACTAGAGTCTGAACAATGAATTTGAACTTCAGGCTTCTACTTCTGAAAAATGAGAATAATTTGTAAAGATTAACTTTATAAAGTGGCTGGCCTTCAATGGTAATTATTATTTGCCCATTTTTAAGAATTTCAATAATAGACGGTTAGTTTCCCCCCATAGATTAATTAAAACAAGCTTTTCTTTTAATGTGCTACTTTTGAAACAGGTAGTTTAAATTATTTTGCTATGATGGGAAAAATGAACCAAGGAAGCATAGTTTTATTAAGATTTGTCAGACAAATTAGTCAGATGTTAGATATACTTTGAGATGCTTAACACTTTTCTAAGGGAAAACGTTAGTCTTAATTTGCTCTGTGAATTGGGTGATGAAAGTCTTTAACCTGAAGTTCACTATGCCTCATTTCTTCATCAGGATCTGGGTAAGTCTTGTCCCCAAAGACCCTATAGGGACGCTGGGGGAATAAATGATGCAACTGGGTGCAGGGCCTGAAAACAAAGGGGTCCAATAAATATTTGCTGAATGAATCATTACTTTATTCATTATTATTGCTATAGGGAGCATACTGCATTAAGGAAATTCCTACTACTAACATATGATGCCTTGGGAATTTTGAGAAAAGTTTAATACCCCAACAGATGTTTTAAAAATCATAATCACTCAACTACCACACTCAAGTTTTTGACCCTTTCGCGTGGAGACACACCGGCTGGAAATGGCTAGCGGTTGGAGATCTCTCTGCCGCATAACGTGGGTTGCACTGTTCTGATAGCAAACTAAGTAGGCAAAGAAGGACTTCAGGCAGAGACATCGCCTCCCGTGACTGTACAAGCCCACCCAAGCATCTCCTGTGCGCCGAAGTCCTGACCAGCTGCAGGGCAAAGAGACTCCCCCGCAAGGTGCCAGGAACCCGTTTCACCCCAAAGTGGGCCAGCAGGGCCGGGCCTCGCCCGGCGGCGCATAGCTGACTCAGGGCGTGGGGAGGGAAGAAAGGCGCCTGCCGCGGTGTCCACTCCGAAGCGCTTCCCAAGATGTAGGTAACCGATCTGCGCCCTCGTCTCGGGGTCATCTCCTTTCCCAATGAGAGAGAGCCCCAAACTGAGCGAAGCCTCATTCTCTCAGCCGCCCTAAGGATATTAATAACAACCATTCCCTGGAGGTGCCCTGCGCTTTAGTTTCCAAAGAGCTTTGACATATGGATCCGCTGCCTCTGGAGAGGCAGGTAAGCAAGTGCCCACACTAGAGAGGGGGAAACCGAGGTACGGCAGTGGGAGGGGCTTCTGGGGTCTTCGGGAACTCTAGGGAAGGCCAGACGGGGAAGGTTCCGCAGCAACCCTCCCTTCCTCGTCCCCCACCCCCACGCGGGTCTCCGCGCTCCGCCCGAGTCAGCCGAAGGAGAGCGCATTCTTGCGGCCGCTCCCGCCACCCCGACCCCCCTCCAGCGCGACCCTCCACCCAGCCATCCCGACGCTGGCCAGCTGGGCAAATACCTCTAGCCATAGCCCCTCTCAGTCACCGCCTGGGATCTCCCGGGAAACGCAGCTTTCGAAAAAAGTTGCAACAACTGTAGCCAACTGCTCCGCGGAGATCCAGCTTCTCAACCTGATTGGCGTCAATGCCCGCCTCTCCTCAAGCTCCCCGTCGTGATAGGCGGACTCGGAGGGAGAGCCCGCCCTTCTCCCCGCCTTCCCAGCGGGGGCGGGGCCAGCGGCCGCACTTTCTACAAACGCTTTCGGGACAGGTCTCGACGGATGAGGTGGGAGGGGGTTTAAATTTGACCGTCTCTCGGCGCTGATTGGCTGCGGTGGAAGGACACTCCGAGCTGCCATTGGGAGGCCCCAAACACCTCCCACTCCCGGTGCTGAAGCTCGCCTCAGGAGCTGGAGTCGCGCGGCTGGAGGCCCGGGCTCCGAGTAGATCCGATTCGGGACTTCCGGCTTTTCTCGGGTTTGACCGGAACCCGACCTTTGACCCCGCGACCCTCCCCTAGGACCTGGGAAGCTTGAAACTCTTAGCCGTTTGGCATCTCCAACACCTGGCCCCCCCTCCAGCAGTTTGATCTATTCATTCCCAGGTTTGAAAGGTTTACTGAATGTTCCAATATTCAAAACTCGCTGGCACGACTCCTACCCACTAACTGGGCAGTGGGTTAATCTTCCATGACCTCAAAGATCCTAGCCCAGGCCAGGCGCGGTGATTCAAGCCTGTAATCCCAGCACTTTGGGAGGCCGAGGCGAGAGGATTGCCTGAGCCCACCGGTTCAAGACCAGCCTGGGCAACTTGGCGAGACCTCTCTCTACAATAAATCAAAAAATTAGCTGGGCGTATAGTGGCACGCGTCTGTAGTTCCAGCTACTTGGAAGGCAGAGGCGGAAGGATCGCCTGAGCCCAGCAGGTAGAGGCTGCGGTGGCCGTGAGTGTGCCACTGCACTCCAGCCTGGGGGACAGAGTGAGACTCCAACTCAAAAAAAAAAAAAAAATCCTAGCTCAACACACCCACCCATTTACAGATGGGGTAATCGAGGAAACGGGAAACTTACTTGTGGCCCGAGGCCATCCAGTAGTTTGATTTCAGGGCCTGGATCAGTCTCTTGATTGTTGAGCAATTAAATGGCTACCTTAACCCCATGGAAGCAACCCTACACTGTTCCCCGCCAAGGGGTCATCAGTCAGTAATGTTCCCAGAGAAGCAAGTGTCCTGGGTGGTCTTTGCTCTGAACTCAGGGAAGGTGTCCAGTTTCTACTCTTCCCTGAGGACTCTCCAACAGGTGTGGGTGTGGGAAGAGGTCATTCATTCATTCTCTCTTTGGTGCCTAAGAAGGTTTTGGAGACCCTATCATTGCCCAAGGACCCTACCACTACACTGGGATAGTAGGAAAGCAAAATAAAGTGATGTATGTAAAAGTACTGGGAAAAGTAGAAAGTGACACTTCTGTCACAAACTTACTATGTGCCTGTAGCATATCATTTCAGCTCTCTGGTCCTCAACTTCTCTGGCTGTCAAGTGATGGACTTGTACTGTTATCTCCAAAGTTCCTCCCAGCTTCCATAAATTATATATAGAGGTTATTGCTTTCATCCAAAGTTCATTAATTCAACACTTATTGAGCTGTATGCTTGTCATTGTTTTGGTCTCCCAAAGACACAGTGGCAAATGAGACAATTCCTTCCCCACATTTTTTAGAAGAAACAAGAAATTTTTTTTGTTTTTGTTTCTTTGGGTTTTTTTGAGTTGGAGTCTCACTCTGTTGCCCAGACTGGAATGCAGTGGCCGCTCCCGGCCACCGCAAACTCGACCTGCTGGGCTCCGACGATCCTTCCGCCTCAGCCTTCCGAGTAGCCGGAATTGCAGGGGTGCGCTACCACGCCCGGCTAATTTTTTGATTTATTGTAGAGATGAGATCTCGCCTGCCCAGGTGGGTTTCGAACCCGCGAGCTCAGGCAATCCACTCACCTCAGCCTCCCAAAGGCGCGGGATGACAGGCTGAGCCACCGAGCCTGGCTTCAAGAAATTATTTTAAGTAGTGATGAATGCTGCAAGAAAATGAAAACGGAGGCTCTTACAAAGTATAAATACACAGAGGGCTATTTCTTTAGATTGATCAAGTCAGAGAAATCCTCTTTGAGTAGGTGGTTTTTAGTTATACCCTAAATAGGGAAGATCTGAGGGAAAGTGCACTTCTAGGTAGACAGAATACCAAGTGAAAATGTCCAGAGGTGGCAATAAGCTCAGTGTGCTAGGGAAATTTTAAAAACCCAGTGTGATTGGAATTGAGCATATGATAGGAAGAATGGAGAGGACTGGGCTGAAAGGTAGGGAGGGGCTGGATCATGTGGGTCCTTGAAGGCTGTGCTGGTTTCTCAGATTAAAATCTACTTTTCTCAGCCTTGTTCTGTGACATCAGGACTGCAAGCCATGATTCTCCTTTGTCTGCTAGTGTTAGGTGCTGGTGGTAGGAGGAGATACAGGAAGACAGGGAGGCTGGAGGAAGAGGAGGGACTTTTTTCATGCCTGTTTGCTGTTCCTAGCATGCTCCCTCAGTAATGACATTTGCTTCTGGCAACAGCATTTGCTTGAGTCTGCAGGTTCTCTCCACAGCCCTCTTGTGCTCCCTCACAAGTACCAGCAACAGCTATTCTTCAGAGTTCCGAGTCCCAGGTGGCAGGATCTGGAACGACCAGCGCCCCTCTGATGGGGCCCCTTCCTTAGAGGGTAAGAACAAACCCTTCAGGTCTCCTCTGATTTTGCCAACTCTCCTAACTCCTACTTGTTTTCTTTGTTTGCCAGCCTTAGAGGTGGGAGCTGCTTCCTGTAGTTGTTATTTATGTTACCTCAGTGTTCTCATTTGCTGTCTCAGTCCTCTACCACCTGTTTAATGAATTTCCTACTTTAAATTCTTTCTGTTGGCTGGGCACGGTGGCTCATGCCTATAATCCCAGGACTTTGGGAGGCTGAGGTGAGAGGAATGCTTGAGCCCAGGAGTTTGAGACCAGCCTGGGCAACATAGCAAGACCTCATCTCTACAAAAAAATTTTAAAATTGGCCAGCTGCAGTGGTGCACACCTATAATCCCAGCTATTCAGGAAGCTGAGGCAGAAGAATTGCCTGTGCCCAGGAAGTCGAGGCTGTGATGAGCCATGATTATGCCACTGCTTTCCAGTCTGGCCACAGAATGAGACTCCAATTTAAAAAAAATTATTTCTGAGACCAGATGTGGTGACTCACACCTGTAATCCCAGCACTCTGGGAGGATGAGGCAAGAGGATTGCCTGAGCCCAAGGGTTCAAGACCAGCCTAGGCAACTTCACGAGACCTCATCTCTACAATAAATTAAAAAATTAGCTGGGTGTGGTTGGTGTGGGCCTATAATTCCAGCTTCTTGGAAGGCTGAGGAAAAAAGATCACCTGAGGTCAGCAGGTTGAGGCTGCGGTGGCCATGAGTTTGCCACTGTACTCCATCCTGGATGACAGTGATACTCCAAAAAACAAACAAAAAAAATTCTTTCTGTTTTCATGACTGGACCCTCGACTGACCCAAATTCCCTAGTAAGGACTTCAGTCTTTTATTTTTATTTTTATTTTTTTGAGTTGGAGTCTCACTCTGTCACCCAGACTGGAG